TCATGAATGTTTTAACTGCTTTTTGAAAATATCAAGTGTGAATCACAAAAACATGGATACTTCAATAAAACTAGAAAAGGTGCTTTCATGGTTTATAATTTCCTTTATACGACTTCCCACTAACTATCTTACATAAATGATCAACAAATAATAATAAATATCTCAACTTGAGTTTGGTGCATGAATTTTAGAATTTCCTTCTTAAAACCATTCAGAGAAATTAAATATTGAAGGAATTACAACTGCACAGGTCTGAATTGTTCATTTTGATAAGATTGTGTTGTATCAGATCTCAGTGTCCATGTGCACCAAGAGATTCATGCATGCGTTTGTTTGTGAGGCTCATTTCAAACCTGTTGCACACATAAACCCTGCAAAGCCACCAGTCGACAGGGAGTGAGCTGGTTCCCGTTGTTTCCCAGTCCCAGCTGACCGTTCCCATTATAGCCCCAACCGTACACCTGCAAGAGGAGAACACGTTTCCTTCGGCTGGATTCTACTGGATAACAACTTTTATATATCGATTGTGAACAAGGAAATCACCTCTCCGTTGTCCACCACGGCCAGAGACGAGGTCTGACCACAGACGATACCGACAGCCACCTTGTTCTGCAGGCAGCTGGACACCCTGCGGGGGGTGGGCTGGTTGGCTGTGGAGCCTGAGCCCACCTGACCACAGTTGTTGTAGCCCCACGCATACACCTGGAAGAAGAAGAGGCGGAGAGGTGAGACAATGCATTTAAATGTTAGAGAGACAAACAGCTCTTTTTAAAGAGGAGGCAGGTTTAGAGCTTCAGATGGAGAACATCCTCCACCTTCTATTTAATAAAGACTGTTTTTATAAAGTCACAGAAAATGTTCGTCCTCAGTTGTTCATAATTCCAGCTTTAGGTCGTCCTAGTGGAAACTGATGATGTTTTATATTATTACCACCAAGAAGGTTATGTTTGTTTGTTTGTTCGTAGGATTTTGTAAACACTACAGTCCATACTACGTTATGGACTTGAGGCACAATTCCAGGAAACTGTTGTGTCATACTTGAGATAAGCGCTCTACTTCTCTACCTGTAATCAAAGTGGGTAATCTGTACAAGTTTCCTTCACTAGAGGACAAAGTGTATTGTAGTTTACAGTATCATGTTGCGTCACAACACACCAGCTTCTACTAAGAGTTTGGGAAATAAATGTATTTGCTTCCTCTGTTTATATGTCTGTAGTATGAAATAAGAAGCAGAAACTGAACACAAAGACTGGAAACAGGGGCTACTGTACCAAGTTTCTGTTTCTAAAGCTGCTTTCAGACATGAACTGAACTCTCCAGGATATTCTCCTGAAATGATCCAGAGGGGCTGGATGTTTTTCCTCCCTCATGCTGCACCACCCCTCACCCGAACGTTCTGGAGGCTTTCCTATTGTTGTGAACGTGTTTGACCCAGAGAATCTCCTGCTGTGTTCTTTATATGCAAGTATGGAGAAAGTCCAGAGCCAATTGTTCAGACAACTTTCCTGAAGTCACGCCTGAAAATCGCTTATGTTTGCTGGCAGCTTGACATTAATGTACGGACACGAGTGTGGCTTCAATCTTCTCATTCGATAATCCCTCCAAAACAATCTGTTGTTGTATCTGGGGAGAATCAGGCGAACACAGACAGCCTGACTGCACGGTGCACGAGAAGACGACCATGTGTGAAGTAGTTAGAGGCACAATGGATTCCTTATGGCCAAGCTTAGATTTCTGAGTTTCAGTTCAGGAGGATCAACTCCTGCTGTGATCGGACTTAGGGTCTCATAAGGGTCTGTGTGTCTAAGCACCGCCTCTGACCAAAGCTGAGTCACCTGTGTCATTACAAGGGTTTTATACGAGCCTCCATTCTGCTCTGTGAACACTTTTACTGTAAAAGCAACACTTGGTTTCACCGTAGACACTTACTTCTCCTGAGTCAGTCAGAGCCATTGAGTGGTGAGAGCCACAGGCCACTTCTGTGACCTTCTTATTGAGCAGGTTGGCAGACACGAGCACTGGAGAGACTCCCTGGTTGGTTGTCCCATTTCCCAGTTGGCTGTAGCCATTATGTCCCCAGGCAAACAGCTCTCCGTCTGAAACATAAAGAGATTAGTTATCCTGCAGCACTTTCTTTAACCCAACTGTGAAAAGGAGGATTAAAGGGTTTTGTGCAGCTACCCTCTGTGGCCAGCAGGACGTGAGGTCCGCTGCCGTAGCTCAGACTGACCACCTTCCTCCCACTCAGGAAGTCCAGCTTCTTGGGGACAACGGTGCTCTGGCTGTCCCCTGTGCCCAGGCAGTTACTGCAGTTCAACCCGAATACAAACACCTGAGTGTGGAAAAAGGAGGGAGAGAGAAAAAAAGAAAAAACCAGAGCATGTAATGTGGATCAGTGATAAGCAGGGCTAAGCAGAGGCAGCCTGAGTCAGCTGAGGAGGAAACAGGTCACACAGCTGACACACAAACATGACAAGCAGCAGGCAGCGCTGATAAGAGCTGCAGGTGGAGGTCGGGTGCCGTCAGCTCTCCACACACACCCACCCCCAAACAAACAAACAAACAAACAGACAGACAGACAGACAGACAGGGGTTGAGCTATAACCTATTTGGCAGCACTGACACAGAGGTGAGAAGCTCTGGAGATGTTGCTAAAAAAAACTGTGACGCAGAGCAATCATCATCTGTAATATTAGTTATTGACCTGTTTTACAACTGTTGTTATAAACACATCATGAAACACAACCACAACTTTATGTCCCCTGTAACCTCTCACCTCGTCATCACTGGTGATGTAGATAGCCTCGTTAGCAGACGTCCCAAACACGCACGCCTTCAGGATGGTGGAGAGCTCCTGAGGCCCCATCAGGCTGAAGAGGGGCCATTTGGTTACATCCACCATGATGCACTGGCTGTGAGTCTGTGGAGAGAGCAGAGGGGTGGAGGGAAGAGTCTGGGTGGGCCACACTGTCATGGAGCAACAGATAATTGTCTATGAACTCTGGGAAAAAAACACATATTAACACAATGTTTGGAAAAAAACGAATTTACTGCAAAGTCAAAAAAACTGACTTTTCAACAAAATGTTTCAGTGTTTGGGACAAAAAGGCGACACACTCAAACACACTGATGTTCGGCTTAGTAAGAAATGACGTTAAATCCATGATCTCACTGAGGAGATTATAGAGAGAAATTGGGTCATGTGGTGTAACATTAGCCCCAAGAGATCAGGGCCGGTATGTATAAAGCCGCTCAATATAAAATTTTGGTTTTAAGTGCTTTAAACGTCTTAAAGAGTGGTGTAATTTCTTTTCTCAAGCCTTATAATTAACTATATATGTCTGTGGATAAACGTTCCTACAAGTTAAGACTCTCTGACAGCTCCCAAATCATTTAAGAGATCTAGAGGTTTACTAACCTAGATACTGGACACAGACAGGATATACACTGTAAGAAAAGGGAACACTATTTATATCAAAAGACTTTTCTTAAGACCATGGCTAAGCAGTGGAACAGACACGACTCTCCTTGTACTTTAACCTTTTCTGGCCTTTCAAAATAGAAAAACACCCTTAAAATAAATTACAGTGTATCATGAGCTGTTTTGTGACACAAAATATCTGAGTGGATGTTTGTGAGGGAAATGTAGTTTTTACAACAGCTACATTTTATATTTGCTTTTACTTAACATATAAGAAAATGGCACAGTTAGTGATTCATTCTGCAGCAGGATATAAATGAGTTAATCAAACACTGGCAGGAGACTTTCTGCTGCGTAAAGACTTTTACACTGATACTCACACGTGCTGATAATAAGTTGAAACAAGGTAAAAGAGTTTGACTTGTGATGGTGGATTTTAACAGTGTGGTGCTTGCTACTTTTTCTTATGACTACTTTGCTCCACCACTGATACACACAGATGTACCAGATATCATAGTAAATAATACACGAATAATGGGATATTGATTAGTCAGTGTTTGTATTTGACCATTTCTAAGCACCAACACTCAAATAAAACCACATGTTTTAAAAATGAAAATGTCAGAAATTCAGTGTAGATTTGAAAAGTGTCTCCTGACAATTTAATCAGATCGGTCTGGTTAAATCAAAAGTCTTGATGCTCTGACTTCCACTTTAGTTGTAATCGAACTAACAACCACTTTGATTACTGAATTATCTACTGATTGTTTCCTTGATAAACTGAATTTTCTAATCAATAAAACGTCCGGGGACAAAGGGGCAAAAAGCACTTGATATGATTCCTCACAGTCCACAGTGACCTCTTCAGATTTCCTGATGTGTCTGACCTACACTCCATCATCCCAAATAATATTTTACTTTATTATCAAACACAACAAGGAAAGGTTTCAAATCATCAAGTTTGACAAGATGCAAAAATAAACATTTGTAATTTCTCGAGTCATTTCCGGACTGATTAATTGAGAGGACCATCACAAACACCAGGAAATTAAAAATGCATGACACGGAAAGAGGAGGGAGCAAACATATCTAGGAAACAAAATGAACTTTATTTATTGACTTATATTCTGTCATAGATGATGTAAAGTGTGTGGATCCAGGTCAGGGAGTTTTTTTTTTTACTTAGCATTAATCCTCCTGCACCTGAGCAACGAGTCAGATTAAACACAGCTCAATGCTACGTGAACAGTTAGCTCGATGGCTAATGCTGCTCATTGTTTAAAAAGAAAAAATCATTGATCAGCAAACTGACACAACAGAGAAGAGAGTCGATCCTGACCCGAGAGCAGAGCCCGAGCTAGCGTGTTGTTGTTCTTCTTCTAGCCGCGGTTAGCTAGTTAGCTCGAGCTAAACTGCTTCTACCAGCGCCAGCATCGACAACCCGGTCAGTTGAACTCACCTGCGGGTGAGTTCGGTTAGTTGGGTCCTGGTCTGGTGTCGTTAACGCCGGACGGGTGGTTGTCAGCGGGCTGCTCCGCCGCGGCCGCCATACCCCTCTGTTCCGGATCTATGCGGAAGTGAGGGAGGAAAATAATGTCACGTGGGTAAAACAGACCCGAGTAATCGATTACAGGCGGCGTTCATGTTGGATCGATTAGACTGAGCCAGGGATGGTTTTACTTAGAATAATGGTTCAGTCCACAACCTGTGTGAATTATTATTTAATATACTGTCTGATGGTTCAGTCCACAGCCTGTGTGTGAATTATTATTTATATTTAATATACTGTCTGATGGTTCAGTCCACAGCCTGTGTGTGAATTATTATTTATATTTAATAAACTGTCTGATGGTTCAGTCCACAACCTGTGTGAATTATTATTTATATTTAATAAACTGTCTGATGGTTCAGTCCACAACCTGTGTGAATTATTATTTATATTTAATATACTGTCTGATGGTTCAGTCCACAGCCTGTATATTAATTGTTTTTATTACTATATAGTGTAATGGGCCAGTCTATATAGTCCAATGGTTTAGTCCATACAGTCTAATGGTTCAATCCAAAACCTGTAAGTGAATTATCAACATTTTTTTATATAATCTAATGGTTCAGTCCATAGCCTGTATAATAATTATTTTTATATTTCATATACAGTGTAATGGTCCTATATATAGATTGTATAATTGTTTTTTATATACAGTCTCATAGCTTAGTCCACAGCCTGTATATACATTATTATTTTTATTTCATATACATCTAATGGTTCAGTCCATGGACCATAAATTACTATTTTTTTATTTTAGATAATTTAATGCAATTAACGATTCATCTATTTCCCACAAAAAAGATACATTTCGTAATTAGTATAAGAAGGAGGGACTCAAATGTTGACTTCTGAAAGTCTTGACTTCTGGAAATCATAATAAATTCACATCAGAGTAAACACAGGGGCTGTGGGATCTACTGTGGATCCTAACACACTTTTGGTTACACAAACCCTCCAGAACCTGAATTCAGTGTCAGAAGGCTCCAGGTTAATCATCACCCTCAAGTCACTGTGTTCAACAACACAAGTTCAGCAAGAGGAAACTATGCCACTTACTAAAACGTGTTTGATACACAGTGATCCCATTCCAAGGCTTCACTCTTACCCAGCAGGGAAAATACACGTGCCGGCCTGAACATAATCCAGGTACATAAACAGATAATGACCCAGTGACTCCCCATCCTATTATCTGTTGCCAGCATGTCTATACTGTAAATAATGATGCATAGAGAATCAATGGGAGGAGTAAGGGATCCATCCACCATCTGTACCACTATACCATCCTTTGAGGGTCACTGGGGGAGCTGGAGCTGATCCCTGCCATCAGTGGGTGAGAGGCAGTGGGTCAGTCACCAGCAGACGGGTCACCTGCCAATCACAGGACCAACATGCAGAGAAAAAAACATTCCCACCTGTGGTCACTGTAAAGTCTCAAATTAACATAACACCAGTCTGCATGTGTTTGGACTGTGGGAGAGACAGAAATCTGCAGAAACCGGTGTCTAACTTTCTCTCAAATCCCCTGAATCCATCCTTGTTAAACATTAGTCACATTCACACTCATGCAACTTAAAAGAAACAACAGCTACTGTGTGTCTGAATCACAACACTTGCAAGCACGGAGGATCCAGTGGCTAAACATCAAGTTTATTTTGGTTAGGATCAGAAACACAGATCATGTCCTGAGGGCGAGATGAGAGGCAATGATATCAAAAATCCCCTGACTGAAATATGGTGATGATGATTTGTTGTGTTGGAGGGGAGGGAAGGTAGTTGAGAGGGAGAAATGATGCGTTACAATGTTCCATGAATACGACTGTAGGGTGCTCTCAACAGCAGAGAGCAGCATCAATGGTAAACTCCAACACCATGGAGGCCATGTTACCGTAGCCACGTCTCCCACATTCTCACCTTGCTCAAAGAATCTTTTTTTTTCTATTCAATAAAACTGAAGTTTTAGTTGAAATGAAAAACAAAAGGCACAATGATTTTCAACTCATTCTTTTCTTTAATATGCACAAGAGTTGAAAGCATCAATGAGCCACCTTAAAGAGAAGAATTCAATCTAAAATTTATAAAAAGATATAAACAATCAGAGGCCAAAACGCTGTCTGTTGCTTTTCTCCTATTATTTTATTTAAAACAACTTTTCATTAGCAAGTAAAAATCTTGCAACAAACATAAGCTTGTATCCAATTCGGATACAAGGCAACGAAATTGTAAATCTTTAAAGTGGCTCGGTCTATTCTGCTAGTTCATGACTGTACACCTTCTCTATAGTTTTGTTCAGTAATAAACAGCTAGTCCCAAAAACAAGCCTGGGCTGCTCATAACAACTCCACATAATATTTTAAACCCCAGTGTGACACCCCCCACCCCCTACTCTGACCCCCTATCAGTAGTTAGCAGCCATCCAGAGGATCAGAAAGTCTTCGAGACCAGGGCGAGGGTCGGGCTCGGAGTTCGACACCCTCAAACCCGAACCTACGCACCAACTGGGACATGGGACGGTACTTTTTTTTAAACAGCCCGTCACCGCCATGAGGAGAAAAACACAGCTCTGATCCAATTAATCAGCATGTCATCACAATACATATGCAAGTCAAAAATAAAAACAATGAAACAAAGAAATATTGCTTCAACAAAAGAAAAAAAAAAACCCTCCCCAGCCATCTTTGACAGTAAAGTTATCGTCCATCCAACGACTGTCAGCTGCAGCAGCTTTGTACAGGCTTTATGTAAATATATTCATATATTCATTAGACGGCAAGGAGAGATACACATCACATTTTTTGTACAGTTATTCAAATTTAGTGATGACATGTGACCTCTTCATCAAAAAGTAGTTAAGTATAATAAATGACAGGACCTGTACTCCTTATGCAGGTTTAGTCTTCAGTGAGTATAGGTCCCTCTCTGCAGGCAGACATCAATATGCCCCTCAGACGTGTGCATAAGACTGAAGAAAAGGAAAATGCAAAAACAGACTATGGAAGCTCCACAGACTCAACCAGGAGAAGCTGAAACATGAAACTAAAATATTTCTTTGAAGAGAGAATAAAAAAAATAAAAAAAGTAAAATAAGCTTAAGGTCAGATAAGCAATTCGGATCGATTTTAGCTCGACGTTTCTTTTTTTCGTAAGTTTTTTTTTTCTTCTCTTTTCATGTTAAACCCCATCCTGAGTTTCACATTACAGGGGAGGCCGGAGCACACAGTTCACCAGGTCACAGGATGTGACCAAGCTCATGCTGCAGAAATGGATGTCCTGTGGGGGAGACAAACACTACAGCTGACATGTTCCTTTTCTCTCAAGTCTCTGCGGCTTCACCTAAACGGTGCTTCCTCCCATGATAGGTACCCCCCCCCAAAAAACAAACAAGAACAAAAATATTGTCGCTCTGCTGAATCAGGAGCAGGCAATAAGCAGGTCTTATTGTTGTCTGTATTGGAAAAAAGTATTATGGCATTTTCTTCACATTTTTTATGATTTTTTTTTGAACAAACATGTTTATTCAACAGGTCACTTTAAAAAAAGTGACACCATTGAGTAAGAAGTCCCGTCAGTCTGTTTGCCACGGAGTCCTTGTTTTGCCTTAGAGCCCTTTCGCCCCTCCACCTGCCCCAGGACGCTCCTGGGAGGGAAGTGGGGGTCCGTGGATAATCATGGCTTAACTCTGGGATTAACTCTTTAAACTTGGTGAGAGAGGGTTGTTGGGGTGCTCAGCCTTCAGGTATGAGTGTAAATAAGAGTGTTGATGTGTGTACTTGAATATTAGTGTGCGTGCACGTGGGTGAAGTAACACCAGAGGACAATCCAGGGGAGGGAAAGCACAAAAAATAAACCACAAACAAACAGCAGTATTTCTTCCCCGTAAGTGATATGATGGCTTCTAAAGAAGTATGCACACTGATTCTAGGTGTCCAAAAGTGTGTACATTAATGTGTGTATGTGTGTGTGTGTGTAAATGTGCTTGTGTTTTTGTCTTTGTGAGGACTAGACATTTGGCAATTTAAATCTTGCCCCGAAGGCTTTTCCTTCCTTCTGCTATTATTTTTGTGTGATATTTAGAAGCACTGGCAGAGAATCCTGACAATCCTCCTGATGCAGGTTGTCAGATGGTGATGGTGCCTGTCGAGTGACCAGGACTCCTATGATTGGATGCCGTGTTCTGTGAGGGATGACCATTAAAAAAGAAAAAAGAAAAAACACCCTGCAGTGCAGAGGTGGGCAAATCCTTCAGTGGTGAGTTTCCATGTTGAAGTGATCCAAAGTAAATCCTTGGGTACCAGGTTGCCGGTTGGAGGAGAGATGGATGAACATCTAGGGTGATTACAGAGTACCCGTGCAGCTGGTAGAACCAAACATCCTGGCTTTTAGAAATTAAACTCCTTTGTTTGCATGTTGGAAGCTGGGTCAAAGTTGAAGGTTCCTCCTTGAGTGGTTTCAGGGATCAAACTGGAATCTTCATCGATCTGAAATAGACAGACATGAGATCAGGACAGAGTTAGGTGTTGACTATGCAGGAAAAAATAAATGAAAAGTTTCAGGTGTAAAATCAGTGTTTGTGAACTCACATCATCTCCTGAAAAGTACTGATCAATAATCTCAAAGGCTAGTTTGTAGATATCCTCATTCTCGTGCTGCTGCAGATTTTCTATCTTCTCCAAACCTGTGAAAAACAAAACAAACACATTTCCCCCTTGTTTAAATCAGTGAAATTTTTACACTCAAATTACATATAAGAACTAAGAAGATGTAATTATAGCCCAATTATCTTCATATTCTAGTCCTGGAAAAACAGAAAACTGAATTTAAAAGAGGATAAGGTGAAATGAAGTGGACACGTTGAAGAGTAATGCTCGGGACAGACCTCCACACTCCTCGATGATCTCCGCGATGGTGCTGGCTTCGTCTCCTGCCATGATGAGGATGTTCTTGAGGCCGTCCAGGACGACCTGCACCACCTGCGAGTCCTTCACTGACAGCAGGCTACAGAACGGAGAGGTGACGTCCTGCTCCACCAGGTACTGCACCTACACAAACCCACACATACACACCACATCCATACTTG